AAGTTAGTTAACTAACTTTGAATTAAGATGGACCATCAGGGATTTCATTACAGATGCACAAAAACTATTGGCGGAGGAAAACGGTATGTATTTGTTACATAGCATTATTTATTTAATTGCCTGCAGAGTAGGTGTAGACTAACTAGACTATGTAGTGACAATTTTAAATTATTTTGCTTGATAATAACGATTATATTCAACCATATAAAAATCAAACATCTATTACAGTTATTATGTTTGTGCCACGCCAAATGTGTATTGTAAAGGTACTGCAATCCAATTAGAAAATGGCACAATCATTATTAAAAAACCACATAGTCATCTGGGAAATAGTGAAGCATTTAATTGCATGAAAGTTAAAAAAAATTTTAGAGGTGTTTTAGTGGACAGAGCCAAGTCAGAAACCAAATCATTAATAGAGATATACAACGAAGAAGCTATAAGGTAATATTAAAACTAATCTAATGTCGTGTACAACTTCTTTTAAATTTACTAGTAAACCTTACTAGTCTAAAATTGCCATATTATCCTCAATTAAATTATATTCCATTATTTTTGTAGACTAAGATAGAATCATTAACAAGTTTAAATCATGGTTATAAATAGGGTCCAGATTTATATGCACTCAAAAAGCTTGAAATAGTATTATTTTATGCATCAAAAATTTTTAAAATTTAAAACCTCTTATTTATTCCTTGTAATATGCAAAAATATCCTCTTACTCAAAATGTATGCATTTATATATTTTTTTTAATTCCTTCCTTAAATAATATTGCAATTAAATTAGGTAGTAAACTTAATTTTTATATTGCAGACATAAACTTAAACCATTACATAAATAATGGTAAATTTTAAAAATATAAACATAAAATAAAACAAAATACATATATAATTAAATTTAATAAAAATGTATTAAATCATAATTTAATCATAAATAAAAAAATTATTTGATAAATATATACAACTTATAATATTTAGTTTTTATAAAAAGAGTTAACAATAATATATTTTTCCATGTGTTCAGGTGTCATTATATTTGTCCTTTTATTGCCTAGTACATATTATAATATGTATATGTTTATAAAGACTAAACGATCTTCCCACATCTACTGATTTCAGTGATGTATACCTACTTCATATTGTCCACAGCGCAAGATGGCGCAAGGTTTGAAGTTTTCTAGAAGCTGTATTTCATTGTTTCCTGATATAATTAGTCTGATTTGTTCTAATACTTGAAATCCTTTATTTTTGTGATACAATTGAGATATTTTAGTTTTTATAATTTAACCTTTTTCACCCTGTATATTTGATAATTCTGAAATTATATTTTTTATAATCTCTAGTGATTGCACTAAAGTCAATTTAGTAGGTATCTTCTAAATTTGTAATTGTCTGAATAAGTCCAGAAAAGTTAATTTTTATAAATGCTAATTCATTTTTTACTGTAAGTAAATTGTACATTTTCTTACAACTCTCTACACTTGCTGACAAATCATTATCTAGTTTTTCTTTTAGAGTTTTAATACTTTCATAGTTATTTGCATTAAATATAACTGCTTCTATCAATGTACTCAATTTTGTAATAACTGGTTCAGGTGGCAATGACAAACCGGGTAGTATTTCTTTATACAGTTAAACACGAGAAGGTGACTTCAAAAAAAGATTTCTTTACATTGTTAATCAATTTGTTTACATCAGGGAATAATTCTGTCACTTTTTCTGCTACTCTGTTTAACATATGTGCTACACATGTCACATGGATGATATATGGGTAAAAAAACTTTGTTTGATTATAACTTATAATCAAACAAAAGAAAGAATTTATCAAATTCACTAATTTTCACAAAATTGGTTAGACGCATGGAAATGTTTGGTTTTTTAAATTGTAAATTATACTTGCTAAATATTAATTAAAAATATTTAAGTTTTTTAATCTATGTGACTATGCTATTTGCACCTTGACAAAACATTTGACTAGTCAATCCTAAGATACATGTTTGAGAATGTGATTATTCTCTTCTCATTCTAACATTTGCTATTTATTGTTGTTTAGATAGAACATTGAAGTTCTATCTACTAAAATCATATTAAATAATAACATTACAGAAATCCTCAAGCTGCAGTGGGTTATGCTTGGCCTACTGCAGAAGCTTCAATGCGTCAAGCTCGAAGGCAAATCGTTCCACCTTTACCACATACTGTGCGCGAACTAGGGGAATATCTGGACCTGAATAATAACAGGTATGAAAAATAAAATAGCTAGAAAAAACAAATATGTTGTAACTAATATGATTTAAATTAAAGACTAAAGTAAAGTAAAATATTTATTTTCAATGATTTTTTTTTATAGATACATATGTAACAACTCTCTTTTATATCAAGGATGGATTAATGATAGTAATGACAATTACAATATAATGTTTGCATGTCAAGATTTAATAAATGCTGTAGTCCATCAAGGTGCAACTGAAATGCATGCAGATGGAACATTTAAAGTGGTACCTTCTATGCCTCATTGTCGTCAGCTGTTTATAATTCATCTAATCCTACAAAATCATGTAATATAAGTTAATATGTTAAATTAATAACTATTTTTAACTTGTTAAATTAAAAATAATTTTAAATTTAGTCCATTCCTGTTTGCTTTGTGTTGATGCAAAGTAAAACTGAGGCTTCGTACAATGCAGTATTGGAGAAATTTAAGACAAAATTTCCGAACGTGAGGCCAACATTAGTAATGATAGATTATGAAACTGGCCTACGAAATTCATTTTTAAATGTGTATCCAGAAGCTGTCGTGTCATCGTGTTGGTTCCACTATGTTCAGGTTTGAAGTTCTTAGTTTAATTGATTATAATGTTATAATGTATAAAGTATTGATAGAACTTTAAAAAGTTTCCAAATTTTGATAACAAATAACATTTTACTAGTTAATAAGTCTTTATATGTATTATTACAATTAAAAAATGTCATTGCAAGATTACTACATACAACATAAATTGAAAATAAAATACACAATACAATGTAATATTGCATGGAATAACATTATTTAATTTATTATAATTATAAGTAACTTAAGTAGACACAAACAATCTTTCTTTATACAGTTAGACTCCTAGAATATATTTTTATATTTTGATTTTTTTAGTTAGGTACCCGAATAGTATATCTAAATTAATGAAGTATTACCTCCTATTAAATTGCGAAAAAATATTTATAGAGCTTACAAAAAAATGTGAAAAAATTGGGCTACACTAACTATGTGAAAGAAAACTTAGCAGCTAAAATGTGTGTGAAAATGACTGCAGCATTGGCGTTATTACCACATAATTTGATTGAAAGAGGTTTTCAAGACATTAAGACATATGCTCAAGATCACCAAATACAATTGTCTAGATTCTTTACATATTTTGCCAGGTATAACACTTCTATAATTTATAAAAAAAAATAATTAACTGTAATGCTTACATTTTTTTTATTGCAAGTAGCTTTTGGATTGCTAGGAAAACACCAGAATGTTTTTCGGTTCACGGACAATCCCGTCGTACGAACAACAACATAGAAAGTTTCCATTCCACCCTAAAACAGAACTTCCAAGTGATGTACCCAAACTTGTTTACATTTTTAGGTAAAATAAAATTCTGTATCTATCAATGCAATTTAATTTTTTAAACACACCTGTTACTTTAGATTCTATATATTAGTATTTCAATAACATATTAAGAACTTAATATATCATAAATCATAACAGAATTACATTGGCGGACATTTGATTAAAATGTTGGGGGCTACAACTACGTAAAATCAAGTGATTCTTAGAGGCTTCCTCCCTGAAATGTACATTTAATCACTAATTTGTGTATTTGCTTTATGAAATTTACAGTTGATACAATATTTTTCCTTAAGTATACATTATTATCTTGTGTTAATTATTTAAGAAATAAAATAAATACCTACCCAATCAAATAATTTGTTTGTTTCATCTCACAGAGCATCTAAAGAAAATCACAATGAAACAACATATCATTGTTGACCAACTGGGTCAAGGCTTGGCAGTAACTAGGTCTATTAAAATGAAATAGATTATGAATTCGGTCAGGATTAAGAACTCCACAGCTCTTCTTTCAACAGGTGCGATTACAACAAAAGAATTCTTGCTCCAATGCTCTCACACTACAGACCGATACTTAGAAAGAGAATTAAGTTGGGAAGATGAACATTTGAGTATGTTAACAAAACATGTATACACCTACTTACTGACCAATAAAACAAATAATCAAATGTTGCATTAATAAACTCATTGTATATTAACCAAATAAACATTAGGTTCTGAAGAAGAGGTACAGGGACCAAATTTTCCAATAATAGCTTCTCCAAATAGAATGAATATGAATGCCAATTATGATATTGCGATCGAGAACATCTTGGAACCAGAAGTCAATTTATTTGAGAGTAATACTTTATACATTGATATTTCAAAAAAATCGCTTTTTTTACATAAAAAACATTCCAGGAGATGAGGTGACTAATGATCCGGTACCAGCTGCTATTATACCGGCATTAGTAAACCATCCAGCAGCTGAAATTAATCCACCAAACAATTTAGAGGAAGGTAATATCTACTTAAACCTACTTTACTGAAAATTAGTTTTAAGTTTTAACTAGGTTTATTAACTGCTTAGAACTTATTTGTATTTAATTAGCTGCCAATTAATTTTTATAAAATTAATATTTCCTAATCCTGCACCAACTTAGCCTTATCTTTTTAAATAAAAATAATTACATAAAATTTTCTAATTTCTAGAGTATGACAGCAGCGATTTTGAAATACCAGAAGATGCAGAAATGCACATGTGGCAAAACTTTCGAGATTCTGATGAATATCAAGATATTATACCTTTTGTACGAGTGCCTAGAAATCTCCATGAACTATATCCACAAACAGCTTATGAAGAAGACATTTGTATTGTGTGTAGGGTGGCTCCAAGAACACATGCTATTATACCATGCGGGCATAAAGTGTTGTGCATCGACTGCCTAACACAGCTAGAAGTACGGATATGCCCAGTATGCAATAGTAATATTGACAATGCATTACGTGTATGGCAGTAAGTTAGATACCTAGCTAACTACCATATCTAACGATTATTAAATTTACAGTAAATACAATTTTTATTTTACATTGTGAATTGTAATTTATTGTGTTTATATTTGGCTCTTATTTCTCATCTATCTATAAAAAACATAACTCATCTCCCTACAAGTACCAACTTCCTGTCATTGAATCAATTTACGTCAAAAATAATTGTGTAATCAGTACTGTTGATTTTTTTAATGAATTAGATAAATTAACCATTAAAACATCTACTGGTCCTGACATTATTTCTGTATCATTGTAGATTTGTTCTTACTCTACCCATACATGAAATTTTCAGTCTTTCTTTAAACAAAGGAATATTCCTATCTCATTTTTAAAATCTTTTTTTATTATTATTAATATTATTAACTCATCATTATCTAATTCTATATTACCTTGTCATTATTATTATCTATATTGTATTCTTCTTGTTATATAGGTAATAAAGTAACTTTTATGTTATTCAACTTAGTTTAGTTTAAAGAAAATGACTGCATCCCATAGCAACTTAACCTTTTTTCTTATTTAGTTGATTAACTAAATAACTAATAGTTCAATAATAATAATAATTATAATATTAACTCATATATATTTAAAAATTATGAGCTATAAATTAATAAACACCTTTCTATTTTAAAATGGAATGCGTATGGGGTGTGGGGTACAACAAGGTTTAACATTTTATATTTGTTTATATTTGTGACAAATAATATTTAATTTGGTTCGATTTTATATTTTGTATTCGTATCCGAATTTTATACAAATAAAAACTATACTTTTGTTTTTCAAGTAGGTAATAGTGTAATACGGCTTATTGAAGCGGTTTGCAATAAAAATACCTATTATAAAAATTGTAGAGGAAAATTTTTAATCCGATTTTTGATATCGTATTCCAATCGTCCAATATCGCATGATAAATTAACAATTTTTTTTTTTTTACTTTTTATCGATTAATTATTTAACTCATTAATAAAAATATAAAAAATCAGGCTTATTTCGATTATTAAAAAAATTCTTCTCTCCAACTTTTATAATAGGTATTTTTACTGTAAACTGCTTCAATAAGCCGTATTACTTGAATTACGAAACCATATTTTGTTCAATAGGCCAAACTCTTCTTATCCGAATTTTATACAAATAAAAACTACTTTTGTTCTTCAATTAATACGGCTTATTGAAGAGGTTTACAGTAAAATACCTTTTATAAAAGTGGTAGAGGAGAATTTTTTTAACAATCGTAATAAATCCGATTTTTGATATCGTATTCCAATCGTCCAATATCGCATGGTCAATTAACATTTTTTTTTTTTACTTTTTATCGATTAATTATTTAACTTATTAATAAAAATATAAAAAATCGAGCTTATTTCAATTGTTGAAAAAATTCTTCTCTAAAACTTTTATAATAGGTAGTTTTGCTGTAAACTATTTAAATAGGCCGTATTACTTGAATTATCGAACAATTTGGGTATGATAAAAAAAAGAAATAGGTATGTACTCAAAAAACCATTTATAACAATTAACAGAAATCATTCAATGTAGACAATCTAAGCCACAACCAGGTAAAGTGGTACATATTATAAATTGAATATAATTTGCGAAAGGATATTTTAAATAGTCCATACCATATATTTGGCAAACACTCTAATTGTGCCCGATATTTTTGCACTGGAAGAAAGTTATACGAACTGAATTCGATCGACGAAGTAATGCAAAGTGGTTTGATGAAAGAAATGACAACTGCACTTAGACGTGTTGCTGATAATGCAAAAAGTTTATTACTTGATGTTGATAACAACATCTGCGAACAGTTTAATAGTGTCATTAATAAGCACATAGGCGGTAAACGAATTAATTTTTCTCAAAAACAGTCGTACACCACTAGAATATATACTGCTGTACTGCTGTAGTATCATTTAATACAGGTGGCAATTATATACGAGAGCTTCACAAAAAGATAATAACCAAAAGTCCAGGTACATTATTTAAAAAGTACCTACAGTGAGTTTAATTAATTAATTTTAATTTTATAATATTATTATGGCATGAATTAGAATTTAATTGAAATTTTGAGTTTTTTACAACAACGCTTTCAAATTAAAATTAAATAAATACTACCAAAACTTATATTTCACATTTCACATTTTTATATTTTGGTATATCGTATTAGCTATGAGTAAATTAAAAATTGAAATAATTTGTATATTAAAGGTGTATAGGCACAATAATAAAATAATAAAATATTTCATTATGAATTATTTTTCAGTATTTATAATGTATGAATAGTATTAATTTATTATTATTATTATGTGGGTAATTGTTTTAATATTATTATATGTGTACAGGAATCATAGCCAAAAATTTTTTGAAGCATACGCAGGGCCGGTTTTAAGGGGCGGCAAAATTATCTCATATAAAATAAACAAAAAATTAATTTTTTATGTAAAGAGAAAGATTTCTAAAAAATGATACATTTTATTACTATTTATTTTTTAAATTCACATATGCATACGTTTTTTTTTACCTATATTTTATCATTTTAAATAAAGAAAAATAAACGTTATTAACTAAGTAGGTAGGTACCTACTAGGTATCATGGAAGATTCTAGGTAGATAGTAAATAAGACCTAAGTTATAAATTAGTTACTTATGTTTTTTTGTATAGTTTACCTACTATTAAAAATCTAATATTGGAATGCATAGGTACCTAGTTAAAATTGCTAAAAATTAACTGCAAATTAAAATTCAATGAGAAAGGGAAACATAAAAAAGGTGGGCAAGTGGCCAGTGGGTGTCGCTCTGCTGTACAGTAGGTTACAAGTCTGTCACTGTATAATGGATAGTATTAAATTTGAATTCAATGATATAATATCATTGTATAAGAAAAACGATTCTGAGCGGAGATGGTATGTCAGTCTAGGTATAAGACATAATATTGTATACATATCTATGGTATTAGAAAAAAAATTGACCTATAATAGGTAGTAGGTACCTATAATAAATTCCAAATTAATCATATCACAATATCCATTAGGTGCTGATAACGCGTTATACATCAACAACATACCGTGATACTATCATAGATATATAATAGCACACTTTAGAAGTTTCAAGTACTCACGAATAACATTATTCAATCACTACAAAATAACTAAAATAGTTATTCTAGGATTTTTAATATGTAATTTCGTCCAAATTTGAATTTAAAATTTCTGTAAAAAATAACTGTGTTCATATATTTTTTAGATTTTTTGGTTACAGTATGAAGTATTTATGAGAACCTTTGTTTTAAATTTTCAATCCTTAGCTATAAAAACTGAACATTTTATAATTTATTAATTACAATGATTTATAATTTTCGAGATTTTGATACATTTTGTCAAAATTCGATCTTTAAATGCTTATAAAAAAAAACTGTGCCTATGTATTTTTAATATTTTTCAACTGCTCTTGTAACAATATATCAGGAGACTTGTATTAATTTTTTACACTTTTTGGCCCAATAGATAAAATTTTATTGATATTTATAGAAAAAAAACTAAAAAAAATTGAAAGATGTAAATGTCCATAAACAGCTCAAAAAGAGTCAAAATATTTTCAAAATTGTATGGTGTATAGGAAATGCTAATATAAATATTCAGTCAAATTTTCATGTATCTAAAGTTATTCGTTTTTGAATTACAACAAAATAAGGAAATCGCTACATGAGAAATCGAGTGAATATTCAATGTTGTAAAAATTTGAATTTCAAACGCTCTTAAAAATTTAATTTGACTTTCTTATATACATTTTTTTTTTTGATAAGGGTAGATAATCTTATAAGGAATCTTGTATTACATTTTCAAATCTTAGATTTAAAAAGAAAAATTTTTACGAATTTCTAACTCAAAATAATTTGCTAATTTTAGTGATTTTTCGATATTTTGTCAATTTTTGAACTTTAAATGCTTATAAAAAAAAACTGTGACTAAGGATTTTTAATATTTTTCATCTGCCTTTGAAAAAATATACTAGGAGCCTTGAATTAAATTTTCAAGCTTTTTTAACCAACAAATAAAATTTTATTGATATTTCTAGAAAAAAAAAACAAAAAAAATGGAAAATGAAAATGTCCCTAAACAGTTCAAAATAAATCAAAATATTTTGAAAATGTTATCGCATATAGAAAATGCAAATATAAACAACCAGTGAAAATTTCATGTACCTAAGGTCATTTTTTTTAAAGTTACACCAAAAACTAAATTCAATTTTGTGAAAAATCGATTTTGTGTAAAAATTCCCGTTTTTCCTTAATTTTTATGTTGTTTTTCCCGGTGCTTTTTAAAATTACTGAGCATTTTAAATTTTGACCTCCCAATGCACCAACGATATTCACTTTCCAATCGAACAAGATACTGAAGTTGAAAATCGAAGCATTATTTCTACTACTTATCGTGTACACTGACACAAAAAATAAAAAGAAAAAAAGAAAACTATAAATTATATTATACTTGTTGAACTAATATTAATTTTTTTCATGGTTAAATAATAGGAAATTGTTGCGCGTTACCCTTTTATTATATTAATATAGGTAATATGATTATAATTTCTTTTTTAAATATAAATGTGGTGATAAATAATATAGGTCACATACTAAATCTATTTATTGAATTTATCCATTTGATAAACTGTAATTCATTGGATTGTGTAATACTTATAATATAGTAGTTTGTATAGTAGGTAATTTTAAACTAACAGTTACTTATAGAAATAATTTTTTAATAAATTTATGTTACAATTTGTTATCATTATATTTTACAACTATACATTTTAAATTAGTTTTTTTTCTCAGTCAATGTACCCGATCTCTAAAAATTACAGAATGATAAATAAAGATTTTAGTGTATTATTATTATCATTACGAGTAGATTACCTATAATTATTATATTACTATATTAGGTATACGTTAGGTAATAGGTATACCCAGTGTTGTAAA